TGAAGGCCAGGTGTGTGCAAAAGGCACGTGAGGAAGTCATAAAGGCCAAGGATGTGAGTTAGTGTGAAGACCAACATGTGTGAGGAAATTTGAAGGCCAAACGTGTGAAGGGTGTGCAGGCCAGGCAGGGTGGAAGGAGTATCGGGAAGTGTTCAAGTCCAGGAGGTGAGAAGGCCAGGCGTGGGATGAAAGGTTGGTAGCATATAAGCACCATGAGCATCCCCTGGGACAGAATGTATCTCCCTTTGCCAGGAGCTAAGCAGCTTCCCGGTGTTGCCGCCTGGGCCCCCCTCTGCCATCCCAGGGGCCTGTCCCCTGAGGACCGGCAGGACGGAGTGTCCCTCCTGCTACTCTGAGCGACGTCCCAACGGACAGCCTGAAGGCCCAGCTGCTGGGGCCGGTGATTCCCACGAAGGTCCCGTCTCAGGGCCATTCTGAGTGACCGAAGCGCGTGGCCGCGGGCATGTGAGGCCACCGCTGGAGGCTGCAGGTGCTCACACACACACGGAGCGAGCGCCTCGGCAGAACGTGCTTCCTCGAGGCCCTTGTTTTGGCCCCTGACGAGAAGCCTGTGCCCGGCTGCCCGGCTGCGCTGGCGGCTGCTCGGCGGACGGGCGCAGCAGCGGGACGCGCGAAGCCGTACCTGCGTCTGATACTCCAGCACTCGTACCTCCTCCCCGTCCGAGGGCCCGAACTGACACCGAGTGGCTGAGAAACGAAGCGCGATGGAGACGGCCAGCTTTAAGTTCACGATGGCCATGCCCACAATGGCGACCCGGCCCAAGGACAAGGTGCCCAGGGACGCTCCGAAGCGCTGCCGGTCGTCCTGTGGAAGAAAGGTGATCGTGCGCCAGGCGGCCGGGCGGCCTCAGGGACGGGAGCACAGGGAGGTGGAGCCGGATCACTCCGGCAGCGGCCACAGGGCTCGGCTGCCAGGCCCGTCCCCGGGGCGCCCCCGACCCAGGGCCCCAGGCCAGGGCGGTGGGGCAGGCCGAGCTGCAGCGCTGCGGGGGTCTGAGCTGTGGCCGGCGACGGAGGACGGAGGGGACCGGCCTGCACGAGTCCACCCCTGGCCGCACTCAGGGCGCGGGGACCCCGGGCCGAGGGGCCGACGTCCCGTTCCCGCCCCCGCGCCCCCGGAATTCCTCCCTCCCCGTGGAAGACAACCTTCCGAGGGCGGTGACGGTCACTGGCTGGGTTCTCACGCCGGGCGTGCTTCTCCCGCCATCCTGGCCTCCCTCACCTCTTGCCGCCTCTCCTGCCTTCATTTCTCTTATTAACTGGACTTTTCTTCCCAAGTTACATGCCCTGCGGTACCCGTGCGGCAACCTTGCGAAGGCCGGACACCAGTTCCGACGCCGCCACGCGGCCACGACGTCGTGCTGCATCATCGCTGGGGAATCTGAAGGCTCAGGGAGCAACACCCCGGGGAGTCTGAGCCGCACCCCTCTCTGGACGATCTCAGAGCTTCTCTGTGGAATGTTGTCATTTCTCTACAGCGCTCCACGGGCCCTCCATCGGGTCCTCTTCCCTTCCTTCGTGAGACTTTCCTCATCCCTGCTGCTGCCTTCCCCTGCCCTCACTCCGCTTCAGCCTCTCCTGTGCCTGTGAGGACCCCTCACTCGGGCTTTCCAGCCTCCAGCCTGACCCCCGCTACGCTCATCCCCTCTATCGTGTGCCTTCCGCTCCCTCATTTTCCTACCAGCTTCTAACGAATGGCGACTATTCCCATTGGGAAGAGACTCGGGCTGCATGTTGCTGACTTCTCTCCTCATCCCTAGTGTCCCTAGCATGCTTGCTTCCAACCCTGCTGTTCCAGCTCCAGTCAGGTGGTGCATGGCGTCGGACAGAGTCCTCTGAGGCTCATGTGCTCCTGGGGACATGGCCACCCCAGCTGTGAGCTCAGGACCTGCTCCAACGTAGGCCATGGCCATCGTGTGTGCCTACCCCCAAAAGAATTTAGGGATGCGGTGAGCCCCAGACACCAGAGAACACGGTCACCCCCACTTGGGATGGTCCGCCACGCAACCTACGTCCTTAAGCCCTTTGGGGGAAACAGCACCAGCAAGGGGCAGCCTCCCTAACTAACCCTGGAGAACTGGGGGGTGGGCAGAGGAGTGGACATCCATGGGCAGTTGTCAGCCAGTGTCTTGTCATCTTGCCCAGGACCCTGGGGGTGCAGCCGACCCCAAGTGCCACCTTCCTTATTGGTGGCGCTGCCGTCTGAACCAAGAGAGGTCTGCCCCCGCCCAACCGAGCACAGGCGGTGGATCTCCAGGCAAGCCCAGGGAGTGTCCTGTGCAGCACTTTCTACCCACGAACTTCCCTTGCTGGAGATACCTGTACCTTAAAGGGGGTGACGTAGGTACCCTCAGGGGTGACGTCTCCAATCCGGTTCAGTAGGTCTTGGCGAGGAATTCGAACCTTGTGGAACATGGCAAATCTGTGCAGATATGGCAGGACTTCTGGTTAAACAGGGCTCCGGCCCTGGGGCTTCTCTCCTCTCCCCCGAGAAAGCCAGTCAAAGAAAAGCAAAGGAAAGCTAAAACGGCGACAATCCCCCCCAAAGAAAGAAAATGGGAGAAGGCACCAGAGAGAGGAAATTTCAACACATTTTTCTATCTAAAAGTAGGTTCAGGAAAACAATGTGGCGTGCATGTGGCGGGGCTCTGTGCGGAAGCAAATGGCCGTGTACTGGTAACCACGGGGCCAGGTGCCTTACACCACCGGGGCTAAGGTGAGGAGTCAACAGAAAAGGGGGGGGCACGCCTGGGTGGCTCAGTCGGTTAAGCGTCTGCCTTCGGCTCAAGTCATGATCCCAGGGTCCTGGGATTGAGTCCCGCATCGGGCTCCCTGCTCCACGGGGAGCCTGCTTCTCCCTCTGCCTCTGTCTCTCTCTCTGTCTCTCATGAATAAATAAATAAAATCTTTAAAAAAAAAAAAAAAGAAAAGGGGGGAACTGATTGCTTTAAAGATCAGAATCCTTGGTTCTCACCCTTCGGTCTCATACCAGGAGAACTGCATGAGAACTAGCAAACTGAGGTTTGAAAACTCTCACGTCCAACAAAAGAACAGTGTTACCGTATCCATGCTCCGAGGGCACATAGACTCGTTTCTTTTGAAAAGCTGAGAAGACTAGAGGCTCACTCACACGTCGTTATAGATCTCTTGTGCATTAGTAATCAAAGATATTTGTTAGGGTTGTCAGGTTGGGAAAACTTTTTCACAACAGTCTCAGGGACAAGGGTCAAAGGAGCATACAAAGGAATGGATGCTACATAAACTGAGCAAAAACCCCAAACCATCTTAAGAATATTGACAGTTCCCACCTCTGAAACAAATAATGCAGTATATGTTAAGAAAAAAAAAAAAGAAGAAGAAGAAGGTAGCAGGAGGGTAAGAATGAAGGGGGGGAAATCGGAGGGGGAGACGAACCATGAGAGACGATGGACTCTGAGAAACAAACAGGGTTCTAGAGGGGAGGGGGGTGGGAGGATGGGTTAGCCTGGTGGTGGGTATTGAGGAGGGCACATTCTGCATGGAGCACAGGGTGTTATGCACAAACAATGAATCATGGAACACTACATCTAAAACTAATGACGTAATGTAGGGGATTAACATAAGAATAAAAAAAAATACTGTTAAAGAATATTGACAGTTCCCACAGCAACTCATCTGATCACCAAGAGCACTTTCAATGTCATCCAGAATGTTCTTCTAGCCCACAGGAGGCCACGGTTGAGAGCACAGCGTCACCAAGCCCGAGAGGGGAGCACCCCTCTTTGCTCACACCAGCTCCTGCTCCAGTTGCGGTCACCCCCAAGATGGGGCCAAGCACCCCATCAGAGCGGGTGTCAGCTCTGCCCGAGGAGGGTCCTGACCCCCCCACCTCCATCCGTGTTCACTCAGCCCCCACCGCCTCTGGTCCGGCTCGCTGCAACAATCACCCCTGGGCTCTTTGCAGACCCAGCTCTTGGGCCTGTCCCGCACAGTAGCCTTCCCAAACCGCTGATCGGAGTGGTGACCCTTGCACAAATCCCTTCGACCCCCAGCCCCACCGCCCTCCCTGCCTCCAGCCACGTGGCACCTGCCGTGGCCCTCAACAGGCCCGGCTCTCCCGTGATCCCTGCGCAGGCAGCCCTCAGAGCGCCGCCGCCTCCTCAGAGGCCCCTCGCGATTCTCCTCTCCCTCAGCCTGCAGCAGGTACTGGTGGCCCCCAGGCACCACTAAAGGGTGGCTCATTCTGTGGCAACGGCCCACTGTCCACGTTCTCACTGAGCCACCTCCTTCTCCTTGGCAGTTTCTGTGGGTCTCACTGACCCGTTTACAGTGGGGCCGTTGGGCCTGACACCTGGAAGATGCTTACTAAGAGCCGTGCAGTGGGTGGACAGCGGGTGAGACACTGTCCCCTGGGTATCGCTGATCTCTCCACCATACCCTGGGTCCGGGCCAGCCTTGGAGGAAAGATGCAGCGCACCGTCCAGGACCCCCAGGGAAGAGCAGAGACCCGGGGCTGGGCGCAGGGCGGGCTGGAGCAGCCCCTCCCAAATTCCTTGGAAAGCATCTAGAGGATCTGCAGGTGAGGAATGCCGGCCGGCCGCCAGGCCCCTGCCAGCATCCAGGCAAGAGGCCAACCTCTGCAGGTGGCCCTCCCAAGTCCGAAACAAAGGTCAGCTATCGACCAGCTCCTCTGCGGGCCCCGCTGGGAGCATCTGAGGCCCTGCCCAGGAGCGGCCGCTGCGCCTGGGCCTCCGTGGGGCCGCTCCGACCGGCGCAGTGGAGGCCCCCCAGGCAGTGAGTTCAGATAGCCACTTTTTAAGAACAGCCTGGGTACCAGCACCCCTGGAGTGTTCCAACTTCTTACTTGAAAGCTGAGGAATGCTTTTTCAAGCACAACTCTGTAAACTCAAAGTGCCCTTTTTAAGGAATGGAAAATCCTCACCCGTTCTTGCCACACGGAGATAGAACAAGTCTGAATGTATTTATACTTGTGAAAATATGCCCTCGAGTTTAACTGAAAGCAAAACCTCACATACCTCTTTTGAGCTGTTCCAGAAACAGTCAGATGGTGGCCAGGCCAGTGGGTGTGTGTGTGACGTGGTGTGTGTGAGACCCGGTGTGCGACATGATGTCTTTGTGTAACATGGCGTGTGTGAAACAATGTACGTGAGACACAGGGAGGGTGACACAGGGGTGGGTGACGCGGGGTTGTGACGAGGGGCGTGTGTGTCACACAAGTGTGTGTGATGTGGGGTATGTGAGACACAGGGTGTGAGACGGGTTGTGTGTGACACAGGGGTGGGTGACATGGGGTGTGTGTGATGCGGGGTTGTGCGTGACACGATGTGTGTGAGACACGGGGTACGTGATGCAGGGTGTGTGTGGCACAGCTCCAAGGGGCAGGTGAGGCGTGCGCCCCACAGGTGTCTAGGAGGGCCGGGGACAGCGCTGAGGGATCTGGACGGCCCAAGGGCTGACATCAGTGGGCATCTATGTCCTGAGCCAGCAGCCTTGAGTAGCGACCCCACAGAGAACACTGTGACCACGAGGTCAGGGCATACACTCACCCGTTGTCTACACCGTTCAGCCCCAACTTCTTCCCGATGTCACCAACCATCACCCCTGGCATGGGAAGAAGGGTCTTGGGGTTCCGAATCTGCACAATGCACAGGAAACAACAAAAGGCAACCATTAGGACCTCACGGAAATGAAAACCAATGTGTTAAAAACCCTCAGTGACTGAGCCCCAGACTCCCTTCCTATATCTGTGGGGGAAACTGTGTCCTCAAAAACGTGACCTTATTTGGAGCTAGGGTCTTCGCAACTGTAATTAAGCGAAGGATCTGGAGATGAGGTCCTCCCAAATGACCCAGGTGGGCCCCAAATCCAATGACAAGTGTCCTATAAGAGAGAAGAGGGGGCCACAGGCCCAGTGACTTGGCGGCCACCAGGGGCTGCACTGCCCCCTGGAGCCTGGGGGCGCGGGGCGGGGGGTGGGGGCTGCCCACCCTGGCGCCAGATGCCCGGCCCCCAGCTCTGCGGTGCTGGGCCACTGCGGTGGCGCTGGCACCAGGGTGGAGGAGCACTGCGGCCTCGGGTTTACGCGCCAGGCTGCCGTCGGACCGGGGCGCATGCGTGCGGGAGGAGACAGAGCCTGAGATTAGTCCTGTAGATCTCTGCTCCCAAAGCGGGTTTCCGTGACTATACTTTCCCAGACCCTACAGATGTAGCTAGTGGATGGTTCCTGGCCGTGGGAGTGCTACGCCAGGGACACGGGGCCGCACCCGAGACCAGCGGTACGGCAGCGACTCCCAGCCAGGTGTGAGCCCACACCGCCCCTCGCTGCCGGGGCCGGGTGTCCCGTCTGAGACCCTCTGGCTGTCCGTACTGGAGGGTACCCTGGGCACACAGCGGGTGGAACATGCCCACCGCGCACGGCTCGGCCCCACAAGAGGCTCACCCAGCTCAAAGATCCACGGCACAGGGCAAGAAACTCTGCTTTAAGGAAACCGTGAGTTTGTGCTATTGGAAGTTTAGCTATTTGCAGAATTGCTTGCTTTTGTTTATTTTGGTGGAACAACCATCTGATTTGATTGAATGTCACGATAATGGTATTTCAGATAAAAACAAAGGTTGAAGTCCAAACATAAATGCTCTTTCCCCCTTCCTCATCTTTCAGTAAGCCCCGGTGAAGATTCGGATGCTAACTTTTCATAACATTTCGAAATTAAAAAAAAAACAAAGTTGGAAAGGAAGTGCATGTGGAGAGAAGACTCACTGAAAGAAAACAGGTTGGCGCTTTTTGAGGAATTGCAGAGAGGAACAGTGGGGGCAAGTCCCGGTTCACGTGGAAATCGATGACCATGCAGTTGCCACAAGTCCCGAACTAACCTCCCAGTCAAGGAAAGGGAGCAGACCAATGCCCAAAGCGGAACTAGTTAACGTCATACTTATCACAAATAAATGTGACCGTGTCCATTTACAATTTGTGAGGTCTGCCAACCTGACTTGAGCAAACAAACCTGTGAAAAATCACAGCCCTCCACCAGATCGGCTACGACCCGTAGCATGCGTCGCATCTCTGGCTAGCCTGGTGAGTCCTCGTTTCACGCTCTCCTCAATGAGGACAGGGACGCACGCCACCCACGAGCCCTCGCTTGGCTCACACTAGGCACGCAGAAATGTCCTGCTGGATGGAGGGGCGACACGGTCCTGCCGGAGAGTGAAACACCACGGATCTCTCGACTAAAGGGCCGGAAACCCTGAACAAAGTGAATGCTAGCCCAGTCTCCACAAGAAGTTCACTTCAGGTACAAGCCTGTACTCACAGAAGCAGTGCATGGCGGCCGGAGGTCATGAAAAGCGACATTTGGGTTTCAGCGGCTCAAATGTGAACTGAAGATAAGGACACGAGCAACAAGGCGGAAAGGGACCAACCAGACTTCACTGAAATTAAAACCCTTCGTGCCTTGAAGGACACAAACAAGAAAACAGAAAGACAACCTATGGAATGAGAGAAAATCATCTATCGGATGAGGGTTGAGTCTCCGGGACACGTGAAGAGCTCTCAGAACTCAACAGTAAGAAGACAAACCACCCGATTCAGAGCTGGATGGAGAGGCACTGATGGACGACAGCCTGGCCACGTGACGGGAGGACCGTGAGCCACAGCGCACAGTGAGCAGTGCAGGAAGGCAAGCAAGCACCCGGTGGCAACGGGCCAGGGCTCGATCGGTGACTGTCAGCGTCCCTTGTTTCTGTCCTGCTAACCAGCCTAGGACCAACCTGACGAAGCCCAGCCCGATCCCCTGACCAGGCTCAGGACTGCCCCAGACTCCCGAGGGATGGTGGCCGCCCCCCTGCTTCAGCCAGCTCTGGGCAAACAGCCTTTGCCTTTCCCTTGGGTAGGGGAGTGGGGGTGGGCTTAGCGTAGTTCCAGAGGGCAAAGGACTTGAACAGACATTTCTCCAAAGAAAATACACGAGCGGCCAACCGGCACATGAAGAGCAGCTCAACGTCATAGGTCATTACGAAAATGCAAACCAAAAGCACAACAAATACCAACTCATGCCCACCAGTGTGCTTATTTAACAAAAAGGAAAATATGTATCAGGGGGGTTCTGAAGAACCTGGGACCCTCATACACCGCAGATGGGAATACAAATTGGTGGGAAGTGTGGAAAGCAGTATGGCAATTCCTCAAAAAGTTAAGCACCGCATCACCATAGGACTCAGCAAGTCCGCTCCTGGGCGTCTACCCAGAAGAACGGAAACAGGGGTTCAAACAGACCCCTGCCCGTGAGCACTCACAGCACTGTTCACGGCAGCCAAAAGGTGAAAACCACCTGAACGTCCATCAGGAGGCAAGTGGATACACACATTGTGATCCAATCCATACAGTGGATCATTCAGCCTGAAAAAGTAAGGAAATTCTGGCACCTGCTATGGTATGGGTGGACTTCAAAACCATACTACATGAACGCAGCAAGACAGGAAAGGTCATGCTGTAGGATTCCTTCCACGTGAAATGTCCAGCAGGCAAACCCACAGAGGCAGAGAGCAGATTAGCAGTTGCCAGGGGCTGGCGGGGGGAGAGTCGGGAGCAAGCGTGGGTACGGGGTGTTCTCCTAAACATGGAAATATTTTGGAATGAGAGACAGCACTAGGAAAGCACCAAATACCACTGAACTGTTCACTTCAAAATGGTTCATTGTATGTTGTATGAATTTCACCTCAATTATGAAAAAAAAAAAGGATGTGACTGACTTTATTCTCTCACGAGAGCCCCTCACCAGAAAGATCCTAACAGAAATGCCGGAATGGGGTCGGGGTGGGGGGAAGCAGGGCTCTCATTCAGTATCCAGTCGGCCAAGGCAGAAAGGTCCTGGACAAGCTTCCGGAAGCTTGGGGTTCAAGGACACTGCAGCAGCCCTGAGCAGTCAGGAAACGGGCCCCACCAGGGAGGCTGGGAGCCCTGGCCTGGCCGTCAGTCCTGGGCACCCCTTGGTGGTAGCTTCCTGGTTGTGACCCGGGAACAGGCTCCATCTAGGCCCCCGAGTCGGACTTCACATCAGCACTGGAACCCACCTCATACCTGCTGGGCAGAACCACAGGACGGTGGGGCTGGCAAGCCCAGGTTTGTGATGAGCGGCTGAAAACATGGCGACATGGTCACCAGAGGGACGGAAAGTCTCTCCCTCGGGTGACCCCGGGTCTAGCCCGGGTTGATCGACCCCAGCACCCCCTGACACTGGGGGCTGGATCTTCCCCTCTTGGGGGCGGGTGGGCTGTCCTGTGCACGCCAGGGGGTTCTCCTTTCCCTTGGTCTGTGCTCTCTAGAAGCTAGGAGCGCCCCCGCCCCCCGCAGCCATGAAGGCGCTTCTGGACGGTGCTGCGCGTCCGTGGCCGAGGCCACCCGGCCGGGACCACTCACCTGCACCACGAAGGAGTGCGGGCCGTGGCACTGCCCCCCCGGCGTGTACAGCTGAGCGAACACCACGGCATGGGTGGCTGTCTTGCCCATGTTGCCAACCCAGAATTTGGCAGCTTCGAAGTCAGGAGAGTGTATGATGAATTCCTGCGCAAAAAAAAAATAATAATAATAATAATAAAGTAATAGTCAAAGTTATAATCAACAACTAAAACACACGCAGAACTCCTTTCCCTTTTCCATAGATTCAACACTCTGTTCAAAATCCCTGAGGAAGAGTAGAAGCGCCTGAACGTTTTAGCTCGGGTCCCGCGCAGGGAGCCCTGTTTTTAGGCACAGCACATCCCCCGGCCCCATGACTTAATGAGGACACATCTGTGGAAAATGAGGACTCGCGTCAGGTGATAAAATATACGCCCAATATTCCGGCAGCTGGCCAGCGCCCAGGTGGTGCTTACTGCGAGACCTCACCCCCTTGGGGCGCCTTCCCTGGCCACAGCCTTTAAGTGGAGCCCCTCCTCTGCTGTGTTCCTCCCTCTCCCCTCATGGGCACTAACCAACGACATACTGTTTCTCTTTCCATGGTGTCTCCCACCTACGAGCTCCATGAGGGCCACGCGCCCAGGAGCACAAGGCGGACCCTGGAAACGTCGGAGTGAATGAGCCCACGGATCAAGGGAGGTGCTGGGAGGCTCACTGGGGGCCGGGCTGGGAGTAAGGCGGGGTGGGGGAAGGATGGGAGCTATCCCAGGGTTGGGAGGGAGGGCTGGGTAGCTGGGCAGAGCCAGCGTCTGGCAGCGAGTCATCTGCATACAGGCCACTGGGGGCAAATGCTGGGCAGGTTTCCTTCTCCCTGTGGGTGGGAAGCTGAGAAGAGCACACGGGGAATGTCCCTGCGAGGCCCGGTGGTGTGTACTGGGTTATCAACTCCGAGTGCCCCAGTGACTACCTTCCAGATGCCGAGACCCCACTAAAGAAAAGTGAGGGCAGGGGTAGGCTTGCCGGTCCTGCCTTCGGCTCACCTCTCCGTGGGGCCACCGCCTGTCACTGTCCCTCACCCAGCCACTGCTCGGGTCGCCGCACGCTGCCCCACCCCGTCCGTGTCTCCACGGTCCCTGGCACACCCACTCTCCTTGCTGCCGTCCGTCTGTGTCTCCCCTCTGGCACAGGCGACCCCCAGAGCAGAGACTGACCTGTCGTGCTCACCGCTGGGTGCCCCGTCCCTTAAAGCAGTGCTTGGCACATACCAGGTGCTCAGCAAACACCTGTTGTCGACACGGGTGCCTAACCAGCAGCCCACCAAGGGCCCCGGGCTCCCAGTCCCGGCAGCTGACGTCATGCTCTGATCTGCACTTAGGTGCAGATGCCAACAGGCAGCGGGTCAGAACCAGGCTGCCCCGTGGACACCCAGGCTTCACCCTGCCTCCCCGCCTAGCATGGAGAGCCCATGGCACCAGGGTGCAGAGCAAAGAGACGAGGCCAGGCCAGAAAAACCTGGGTTCAGAGAAAGGTATCTGGTGGCTGGAAAGCCAAAGGGGGCCGTGGCTGAGCGGCTCTCTCTCCGCCCTACTCTGCTGTGGACGGCTGTTGCGCTGGGCGGCAACCACCTCTCCCCTGGCCCCGCTCTGCCCCGCTGGCAGCTCCCCTCAGGGCTGTGGCCCTGTGCACCCTGGCAGGTGCACACTCGGCCCGCGCTGTTGGAGAATGGATGAGTGATGAGCGAGCACATGAGCACAGGGCTTCGCTTTCTGTTCCGCTTTCTACTACCAGCACGGGGAAGGCGGGGGGTCCCGAAACACCAGACCAGTGTGTAAAGAGCGGCGGAGGGCACTGTCCTCAGAGAAGCAGAGGAGACTGACCCCAGCGACAGGGATGGCAGGGCACATAGGTCATGGAGAGAGAAGGCTGCCTGACCCGTGCGCCCCATCCTCTCCCTGCCCTCGCTTCCCTCCGTAGCACCGACCACCCGATAAATCGTGACTCCATTAGCTGACATCTGACTCCCCCGACTAGAGCCCAGAGCGTCTGGTCCCCAAGAGCAAGGACACAGCCCGTGAGTGCCCGGTGCTGAGAACAACACCTGAGCCACGGATCTGCTGGCAGAACGCACAAGGCAGCAGCCAATGGTGCTCACCAGCCACGTGGTCCGAGGGGCCAGATGCAGGGGCAGGAGTGGACAGGGCAGGCCCCTGGCCGGCAGAGCCTGGCCACAGATGGGGAGCAGGCAGCTAGAAAGGGACCAGTGTCAAGGAGAACCTTCTTCACACTGTTCATTTGAGAAAGCGTGGGCAGCTTGAACATGTAGGAACCCAACACCAACAGGCTGCCTGGTGAACAAATAAACTCTCTATGTCCCAAGCCGCCACTTGGCAGGGTGACGATCTCAGCGTGCATGAGAAGCACACGTGTACAAGGACAGATTTCTGAGTGTAGGGACCCCACGTTATGCATGCTCGAAGCCCCGAGACCAACGGGAACATAATACCTACCTCGGTGGTGGGGTCATAGTGAGCAGTTGTTCGGATGGCCTTGGCATTACTCCCGTGACTGAGTTCAGTCACCGCAAAGCATCCAAAAATCTAGTATCGAAGCACAAAATGGTGTAAGGCAAGAAAGGTTCTTTCTGCGCGCTCCTGGAGGGGCCCTGCCACTGTCTTTCCGGAAGGACTAAATTAGAGGCCAAAGCACCAAATCCCCACCCCCTCACCCAACCGGCTGGGGTCTTACAGGGTCATGGGGCCATGCTGGACGCCATAGCCCCAGCCTGCGGGACAGAAGGCTGGGCGAGCTGACAGCAGCCTCACCAGGGCAGCGCAGAACCAGGAACTGCTCCCGGGAGCGGAAGAAAACTGAAGGCTTGGCTTTGAGAGCCACGTGCTAAACCCACCAACTGCTGGGGATTCGGTGCGGCCCCCGGGGACTCCCTCCTGCGCCCTGAGGTGCACGGGGAGAAGAACATGGGCTCACAGCTCACGGGGGCTTTCAACTCACATCCATGTTGAAGATCTTTGGAAGGTATTTTAAATGTCTTTCAGAACCAGAGCTGTAAATCGCTGATCCAAAAGTCTGGAAATACAAAATCATCATGCAACAGGTACAAGTTAAGGAGTCCTGCTCTTCTGGGGCGTTGGGGATGGCACACGCTGTAATGCCCATGGCCGGGGTGAGACCTGCATCCCCGGCCCGAGCAGTTCATGTAACTTAAGCAGGAGCACCTCACACTTAAGATGCCAGAGGGAAGTCCCAAGGGGACGGACGGGCAGGGTGACGGGAGCACAGGGGGAGCGGAGGGGCGAGGGTGCAGGACGGGCAGGCAAGCCCAGCTTCCCATCAGAGCCCCAGGCGTGGGCCGCGTGTCTGCCGAGGCCATGGACACGTCCTCACCTCTGCCCGTGTACCGGCAATGGGAGCCCCAGTGTCCCCTCTGACCTGCTTCCCCTTCCTTGCTGGTTTTGCTTTTTGTGGGGTTTTTTGGGGGGGGCAGGGGGTTGGTGTAAAGCAAAAAGGTCCCAAAGCTCCTCTTCTTACGGGGCTTTAACTTGTACGGCATTCTCGTCAAGGACTCCTGTGTGCCAATTTGCACGGACAGCTGAGAAAAGCAGGACTTTTTCCTAAGGCATCACGAGATCTGCCCATGCGTTCTCATCTCCATTTTTGCTTCCTCTATTATTTCTCAGAACTCTCTTAGAAGAAACATTTCCCCAAATGCGCGCATCCCCACGAAACTCTACAAGCCCGCAAACACTGGCCAGCAGCACACCCCACGGGTCCTGTCTACATCTCACGGGTTGTGTGTCATTTACATAAACAAGGACCTGCTCTGTCCGTGCCTCAGCCTCCTGCCTGGCCGGGCGGCACCCTCCTCCGCCCTCCTCCCTGCCCACTCACCAGCATGTGCAGCAAGAACTTGACAGCCAGGGACCAGTCATACATGCCCAGACAGGCGATGAGCGTCTGGACCGACAGAGGCCTGGCCACCATCTCTTCCACGGGGAGGAGGCTGTACTCCATGACCCGCTTGCAGCGAAGGAAGCTCAGCTCCCGGTACTTCTCCAGGGAGAGATCTTCCCCATGCGAATGAGCGAAGAGCGGGTCATTCTCCAAAGCTGAGAAGATGGCCTTCTGGAAATGGAGGAGATGGGAGTGGCCCATTTGGAGGCCAAGGACGGAGCCTCACTACGATCTGCTCCATGAGCCCCGGTCCAGCCCAGAGACCCAGGGGCAGATGGAAGTCGTTCCAGTCGCAAGCACAGGGACCCGAGGCCTCAGAAGCTGAATCAGCCTGAGCTCCTCCCGGGCGGCAGTGACGCTCCCCCAGAGGGCTCCCAGGACCCGGGCCATACGGGGCACTTGTTGGGGCCTTCAGGGGCCAGAGGGCCTGCCAGCACCCACGAACCAGACACCCGGCACAGCCACGGGGCTCAGCCCGGCCCACTGCCGGCTCCCCTCACCTTCAGGCGCAGCATGTCCTCGCCTTCCAGGAACAGCACCAGCTCCTGCCAGCAGAAGGAGGCGCGGGCGCGGTAGGCCTGCAGGGGCCCCTTGGGGAGATCTGGGAGCAGGGCATCAGTGCCGCCTTCCGATGGGGGTGCCATCGCTGGGCATCAGCCTGCAGGAGACAGACGACCTGAGCCAGCGAGCTGGCCCAGTCACCCACCCGAGGCACAGTGCGGGCGTGCCGTGTGACAAGTAGGAGAGAAGCAAACAGACTCCCGAAGGGCTGGCAAAAGAGAATGACCGTACAAGACCTCATGTCTATGTTCCCCAAAGACAAGGTGAGGAGGCGGCCAATAGCAGTGGGCAGCCCTGGGCAGCTGAGGCTAGAGGCTCTGTGGGCTACAGCCTGGCCCGAGGACACCTCGCCCTCTCGGGGCCACTAGGCCCGTCCTGCGAGGCCCAGCCAGGCCTCGCGGCCCAGGAAGCCTCCCTCTGGAGTCCGTTTAACGCTGGCCGGTCCACTCTGGCCACACAGGACAGGACCAAAGGTCCTCTACAAGCCTGCCTGGACATGGGACATCTGCCAGAGAGCCTTTGAACACAGACTTTTGTCCTGAACTCTCTTGACAGACACCTGGCTTCCCACCAACAAAGCAGGCACCCTGCAGCCCAGCCCCCTTGACCAAAGAATCATTCTGAAATTTTCTGAGAGGACTGGCTCCTTTTCCACAGTGCTCCAGCTCATCAAGGCCCAGGACAGGAGGGGCTGGTGAACCCAGACTTAGAGGAACAGCAGGAGAGTGGGGTCCCGAGCATGGACCCACTGAGCGTAGAAACAGTCTAGGACGCGGGGCTCTGAGTATGGCTGCTCAATACTGAGAAGCAATGGGAGCGTGATCTCGTGACAAAAGAACTTGTGTGTGTGTGTGTGTGTGTGCAAGAGGGGAAAGGCACGGAGGGGACGCGCCCCCCACCCCCCAACAGGCGAATGGGAGGGGGTAGGAAATTTGAACAGACCTACTGTGGACACAGATGCTGGGTAAGAATCAACAAACTGCCCACAAAGACAAGCCATGGGGCTTCCACTGTGAATTCTACCAAACATTTAAAGAAACATACCAATTATCCACAAAGTCTCCCAAAAAACAGAGGCACAGGGCACACCTCTGTAGGGTGTCCCATAAAGCCAGCAGCACCTTGAATCCCAAACCAAAGACATCTCGAGAAAGGAGGGCTACAGACCAGTATCCCTTATGAACACAGGTGAACAACTCCTGAGCAAGTCCTGCAGACTGAATGCAGCCCCACAGGAGAAAGATCACACACCAGGACAAGGGACCTGTGCCCCCAGGAAACTATGGGCGGCTCAACATGTGAAAGTCAATTAGGGGGCGCCTGGCTGGTACAGTCGGTTGAGCATCTGACTCTTGATTTCAGCTCAGGTCATGATCTTAGGGTCATGAGATGGAGCCCCACGTTGGGCCCCAGCTGAGCGTGGAGTCTGATTGGGGTTCTCTCCCTCTCCCTCTGCCCCTCCCACCTCTCTCTCTCTCTAAAAAACAAAAAACAAAAAAAAAGAATAGAAAATAAAGAGTCAATCAATGTAATATGCCATGCCAACACGATAAAGGACAAAAATATATGATCGTGTCAGCGGATGCAGAAAAAGCATTCAACAAAATCCCACACCCTCTCGTGACAGAAATTCTGAACAAACTGGGAACAGGAGGGAACTTCCTCCACCTGATAAAGGGCGTCTATGAAATGCCCACAGCTCTCATCATACGTTAATAGAGAAGACTGAATGCCCTTCTCCGAACATCAGCAACAAGATAAAGGTGTCCCCTCTGCCTCTTTTCATCAACACACTACTGGACACTCCAGCCAGTGCTGTCATGCAAGAAAATGAAATCAAAGGCATCCTGATTAGAAACCTATCTCTTATCTGCAGATGACATGATTATGTATATAGAAAATCCTAAGGTGTCCACCAAAAAACGATTAGAATCAGTTAGCTCAGCCAGTTTACAGGGTACAAAATCAATATGCAAAACTCAACTGAATTTCTATACACTAGCAGTGAACAACTCAAAAATGAAATGAAGAAAAATTCAATTCATGACAGCATCAAAAATAATAAAATATGGAGAAATAAATTCAACAAAAGAAGTGTAAAACTTATATTCTGAAAACTACAAAGCATTTTTGAAAGAAACCTGAGATCTCAGTAAATGGAGAGACACCCCTTGTTCACGAGTCAGAAGGACTCAATATTGTTAAAATACTGATATTCGCCAACTCATCTACAGAGCCAGTGTGGTCCCCATCAAAATCCCAGCTGGCTTTTTCTTTTTTTTTTTTTTTTTTGCAGGAATTAAAAAGCTGATCCTAAAATTTATCTGGAAATGTAAGGAACCCAGGATAGACAAAACCACCTTGAAAAAGAACAAAGTTGGAGAATCCGTTCTGCCTGATTTCAAAACTTGCCACCAAGGGGACTGATCTGGCGGCACATGAAGACAGATGCATGTAGATTGACGGGACAGAGCTGAGAGTCCAGCAGTAAACCCTGATATGCAGGGTCAACTGCCTTTGGCCAGCATGCCCGGACAACGTCCTGGGGAAGGAGCAGTTTTCTCAAGTGGTGTCGGGCCCCCCCGCCCCGCCCAATGTCCACGTGCGATGGAATGAGGGCCCACTCTTTAAACACACACACACACACACACACACACACAACACTTAATTCAGAAGGGACACAGACCTGGATATAGGAGGTAACACTAAAACCTCGAAGAAGGGACGGTAGGAGTAAATCTTTACAACCTTAGGTGAGGCCACGCCTTCCTGGACACGGCATCAGAAGCACAAACAATAAAAGTAGATTAATTCAACTTCATCAAACTCAAAAACTTTTGCTGCAAAGAACACCAATGAGTGAGTGAAAAGGCAAACCAGAGAACGGAAGATATTTGCAAATCACATATTGATAAGGGACTTGCACCCAGACTATGTGAAGAATCTTAATAACAAAGCCAAACAACCCAATTTAAAAGTCTCAAACAGAGGTTTCTCCAAAGATACGCAGATGGCCAAAGAGCAGGTGAAGAGATGCTCCACATCATTCACCATCAGGGAGTACAAATTGAAACCACAATGAGATACCTCCACTACGATGGCCAGGATCAAACCGACAGACAATAACATGCATTGATGAGAACGTGCAGAGAGTGGAACCCTCATGCCCTCGTGCCTTGCTGGTGGGAATGCAGAACGGCACAGTCATTTTGGGAAAGGCTGATGGTTCTTCAAAAGTTTAAATATACAGCCACCATGTGACCCAGCAACTGCACTCCCAGCTATACACCCAAGAGAAACGGAAAGAAATACCCACACAAAAATGTGTGCACGAATGTTCATAGTGGCATTATTTATAACCCCCCCCAAAGTGGAAACAACCCATATGTCCATCAACTGATGAATGCGTAAACACAACGTAGACTATCCATACAGTGAAATATCATTGGATGAACCTTGGCAGTGTTACCTTAAGTGACAGAAGTCAAGACACAAAAGATCACATATTGCATGCTCCTACTTACATGAAATGTGCAATGTGGGCAAATACATAGAGATAGAAAGTAGACTGGCAGCTGCCAGCAGCCGGGGAATGACTCCTAAGGGGGCCAAGATTTCTTCTGGAGTGATGAAAACATTCTGGAAATAAATAGCCCTTGTGGCTGCACCACACTGCACGGTTGTGGATGAATCGTACGGTGGGTTATGCCTCAACAAAACAAGACTTTTTTTTAAAGGTAAGTCACAGCCCTTGGCAGAATCCAAGTGCTTGAAAAATGCAAGCTATAAAGCCTCAGGGGAACTCTTATCTTTCTGGACTTCTGTGCCCTTGATGCATCCCTGTCACTCCCCATGCTCCCTCCTTGAGGTCCGGGACACCACACCGTGCATCCCTTCCTGCTCCCCTCTGGCTCCTTGCAGACTCTCAGCCTTGGCCACACTCACTCTTCATAACCTGAAATTGTCTCTGATGCGTGGAGGCCTCCCAGACTGGACCCTGCAGACCTGCAGTTTCCTGGACACCCCTCCCTCTCTCACAGTCTAGAGGTCCTCAAGCTCTGAATGTTCAAACCCAGGGCTCCCTGGCCCAGCCTCTCCTCCCACAGGCCCAAGCCCACATTGCCAGTTCCCCTGAGTTACTGGAGCGACAAGCCTGAGTGCTGTGCTGGAATTCCCTTCTCTGCCCCCAAACCTGGTTGGTTACCAAGCCCCCCACTGCAGCTCTTTTAACACCTACTAAATCCCTTCTTCTCTCCGCAACTACTAAATTGATCACAAGACTGTCCAATCATCGAACAATCCCTGAGTGCAGGTGAATGTTAAGCAACTACATGAGTGGTGCTTGCAACCCCAAGTATTCTCAGCAGGTAAGCGAACTGGAAGCTTTCCAGAGGGAAGAAGTCGCCCGAGATCTAGGGCTGTTAGCACACCCAACCTCAGATCCCATGATCCTAAGCAGCCAGGGAAACCCCTAGGACCCCATGCCACCCGAGGTCACCCACAAGACTGCATGATGGTGCAGCTGCGGCGACCAAGGATTCTGAAGCCAGAATGCCCGGCGTGACACACCAACATTAGCACTTCTGGGCTGGGTGAACTTAGCCTGTCACTTCACCTCTCCGTGTGACCACACGGTAATGCTAGTCTAGTGTCTAGCGTCTAGGCTGCCGCAATTCGCAGGGAGCACTGGAGTGGTCCCCCGCAGGACATCATTACAATGGCAACAGCCGCCTTCAGTCAGTTTTCCTCTCAGCAGCAGAGAGGTGACTCTTAAAATGCAGACTGATACTCTCTCTTTAGGAGACAGCTGTGTGGCGACCTCAGGCGACAATGTCCAAACTCCTCAAACTGTCTCTCCAGATGACCTGCGGGTGCCCGCGCTCGCTGTCTCGCCCCCAGCAACTCCGCGCGGGGAACGGGTGTGCCCCGGGGCATTTGCACAAGCCATCCCCCCTCCTGCCAGGTGCTCCGTCCCCGGGCCACCCGCGCCGCCCGCGCCGCCCGCGCCCCCGGCCCCATGGACGCGACCTTGGATTTCGCCGGCCCTTCTGGTCGCTGGGTCCCCACACCGTCCAGCGCACACAGCAGGCGCCCTACCAATGTCCTCTGGGGCGCGGCACACAGCCGATGGCCCGCGCAGCCCTTCTAGGCAGGCTGACAGCTCTGCACAGCTTCTCGGCCACCGTCCCCCTGACGTCATCACACCGCGCCTCGGGCCCGTTGCCTGGGAGACGCGGGGCGCGCCAGAGGGGAACCCTCCTTGGTCCTCCGGGTGGGTCTCCGCGAGAACTGTGTGTCTGTATCTTGGGATGTTTGCTTAACATGCAGATTCCTGGGGCCCCCTCTAGAGCCAGGGCACCGGAACCCCCGGTCGGAGCCTGGGCAGCTTCCAGCTGATCAGCTGCACCGCGTGCTCGGTGAGGTTTGCGAACCAGGCTCCTACCCAGTTCGCCCAGGGCCCCCAGGGGAGCTGCGCCCTGGCCCCTCGGGCGGTCACCGACCCCGCAGTCCAGCCCGGACTGGAGGAACTGCCCACTGCCGCGCTCCTGCCCCCGGGGCCAGCAGCATACCTAAACGCCTGCTCCCAAACCCTGCCTCAGGTGCTCCAGACTGAGACGGCCCCTCCTGTGAAAGGTACGGAGATCAAAGGAAATGTAGATGAAAGGAAATGTCCTTACCGCCTGCAGCCCCTTGCAGGTACTTGAAGCAGGCAGGGTACACCTTCCTCCAGGAGCTCCCAATCTTAAGGTTAACGCCTGCTAGAGGGATAAACAACCTTAGCTTGACCAGAGCCCGGCCTCCGCAACCCTGACGGTCTTCTTTTTTTTAAGATTTTATGTATTTATTTGTCAGAGAAAGAGAGACAGAGAGAGAGCACAAACGGGGGAGCGGCAGGCAGAGGAAGAAGCCGGCTCCCCGCTGAGCAAGGAGCTGGATGAGGGACTCCATCCCAGGACCCTGGGATCATGACCTGAGCAGAAGGCGGATGCTTAACGGACTGAGCCACCCAGGCGCCCCCCTGACAGTCTTCTTTCACATGTGAAAATCCTGTTGGAAACTTGCTTTATGTCTGCCCCTCCCAACCTAAAGCTATATAATCAGTCACTCCTCACTACCCCAGGGCCGCTCTTTCTGCCCATGAGTCCTGTCCCCGTGCTTTAATAAAGCCACCTTTTAAAAAAACAAAAAACAAAAAACATCTCAAGAACTCTTTCTTGACCACTCGCTCCCGGACCCCACATCGCATCAAATCACATCAGAAGCAACTGGATTTGGCAATTTACCACACGAAGACCAAGGAAGAAGTACAAGTCCAAAGGTTTCCGTTTAAAGGGAACTGAGAGATGGACACTGTGGTCACAGGAAGACAAGCTCAGTTTTTGAGATGTGTGAAGTTTAAGATGCTTCTTGAAATTTGGAAGGTTAGGGTTCGTGAGCAAACAGCTAAGAAAGAATTCTTGAGGGGTCTTTGATGCAAAAAGGTGGGGTTTTTTTGGGTTTTGTTTTTGTTTTTGTTAGGGGGTCCTTATTCTATTTTTTTTTTAATTTTATTATGTTAGTCACCATACATTACATCATTAGTTTTTGATGTGGTGATCCACGATCCATTGTGTTCGTATAACACCCAGTGCTCCATGCAGTATGTGCCCTCCTTAATACCCATCACCGGGCTAACCAATTAAAGCATGAGGACAGGACCCATGGGCAGAAAGAGCTGCTGCCCTGGGGTCATGAGGAGTGGCTCATTATGTACTTTTTAATTAGTGGGGGTTAGGGAGAGCGTAAGTCTCTAAGGAATTTGGGAGAAAGGCTTTCAGGACCTTGAAGGGCTAGCTGCTGTTAAGATCAGGTTACTTTTAGTCTTTAATAAAACATAAACATGAAGGTACTAAGGCAGCTGTGCGTTCCTTGAGGAAGGTCATGCCCTACAGGTTTCAGGTATCTGTGGGCTGAAAACTGTAAGGAGATTTAATTTAAGCTACATTTCTCTCACCTTTGTTTCCCTCGTCATTTTCACCCCTGGACAACTTTGACCCTTAAATCGTTAAGGTTGCTGAGTGGGGAAGGTCTCATCTTCTGAAACTGCATCCTGCTGGATAGGGGCGTAGATGTGTCCCTACGTATGGGTCAAGGTTGGTCAGTTGAGAATTTAAGAGGAGTTAGGAAAGGCTGAGGCAGCTCTACCTAGAGTTGATAACATATGGGAGTCTCCTTGAGCAGAAAGGATCATCTGTTATGGCATTGAATGGCGTAAGTTTGTTAAAACCCCCAGAAAGTTATAAAAAAAATCCTAAATAGGATTACAGATCATTATAAAACTTAAAATTTAATTATTTGTTTAACCAAGGTGGCAACAAGAGATTCCAAAGGCAAATATGTTGGGTTATATAGTTGTTAGCAAAACTCAGCTCCTTTAATATTGAGGAGTTTTAATTAAGTAAAGACCTGATAAAGACAAAATATAGAAACCATGGTTTTCTGGGTAGACAGAAGAGAAAAAAAAAACTTTATGTTTTCTTATCAAGAACAGACCAAAAATCCAAGAAAACTTTGTCTTTTTAACAGAGAGAAAAGGAGAATTTCAGTCTTATACCAGTATACTTTTAAAATCCATTCATTTCGTTCTTAGTCCTGACCGCATATAAAATTCATTTCCAAAGATTTTCCTTCATAAGCCTTCTACAACTTTTTTATTTATTCAGATTTTGACCTAGGCCCTTTTTTAAAAATCACTCTTCATTACATTTAGCAGAATTTTAACTCTTAGAAGCCTTAGTCTCCCATGAAAACTAAGTAGTAACCAATTGTGAACTGTTACACCATAATTATTTAGATCTGAAATGTATAAATATATTTTATAATTTAAAAAACATGTTTTTTCATAGTACAATCTTTAAATAAGGCACAAAGCGTATTTACCAACAGACCCAAATATCATCAGCTTCTCTGCAATAAGCAGTCAAAAGGCACAAACCTACATCCAGTAATCAATGTTTTAGCACTCCATCCTATTTAGAAAAGACCTAGATGTCCAACAATTCAGTCTCCTTTGTCATCCAAGCAAAACTTTAAAGTTTCAGGTTACCAGAGATATTGACAGCTATCTTAACAATGACCCATGAAAATTTTGAGACAGACAAAATTAACCACCATTTTAAGTCATCTTGTTGCTAACAAATTGCAACAGAGATAACACAAGCTTATTGGACCTTCAGTAAATCTTGGTAGAATAAAAGTTTCCTGTTTAATGCTGATAACTCTAAAGACATGTCTATCTTAATTAAAAAAACAAACTCAAGTTAGTTTACATACTGAATTAATGAGAATGAAAACACATCAGTTCAAAACCTATGGCATACTGCAAAGGCGGTCCTTAGAGGGAAGTACATAGCCATACAAGACTCTCTCAAAAAATTGGAAAAATCCCAAATGCACAAGCTAACCTTACACCCAAAGGAGCTGGAGAAAGAACGCAAATAAAGACTAAACCAAGCAGAAAAAGAGAAATAATAAAGATTAGAGCAGGAATCAATGAAATAGAAGCCGGAAGAACAGTAGAACAGATCAACAAAACTAGAAGCTGGTTCTTTTAAAGAATAAGATCGATAAACCTCTGGCCAGACTGATCCAAACGAAAAGAGAAAGGACCCAAATTAATACAATCATGAATGAAAGGGGAGAGATCACGACTGGTACCAAGGAAAATAGAGACAATGGTGAAAACATATTATCAGCAACTATATACCAACAAATTAGGCAATCTGAATCCATTAAGAAATGGATGCATTCCTGGAAACTTGTAAACTCCCAAGACTGAAACAGAAAGAGGTAGAACATCTGAACAGACCAAAAACCCACAAGGAAATTGAAGCAGTAATCAAAACCCTCCCCCAAAACAAGAGTTCAGGGCCAGATGGCTTCCCAGGGGAATTCTACCAAACATTTAAAAAAGAAATAATACCTATTCTACTGAAGCTGTTTCAAAAAATAGAAACGGAAGAAAAACTTCTAAACTTGTTCTATGTGGCTCCAGTTATTATAGGCATTAACCCAGGAGATGGATGAGGGTGAAACCCCCATATCTATTAGGAGGAGGAACAGTGAGAGAGTCAGCATCCCCTTCCCCAGGGATGGTCTGTGTTTCCTCCAACCTGGGTTCTATCAGGAGGCCTATTTCGATAATTATCATCCAGTCTGTCAGGAGAGAGTTTACTGGCCTGGTTAAGTGAGCAAACATGTTCTGCAAGAGGCCCTTAGGTCAGGGTCCTGAGTTAGGGCCCTGAAGGCCTGGACCTGGGGTACCTCCATCCATCTGCCCTGTTTCCTCCCTGCAGGAGAGATCTGTTGGATAGATCCTACTGAGGCCATGCAGTGTTACAGGAGATCAGTCCTCTCTTAAATTTTGCAAACTGAAATCTTTCCAGTGTGTTAAAAGGCATTCCAAGGGAGAGTCCCTGGGAACTGAAGAAGAGAGAAGGTCCATTACCAAGAAAACCCTCCCCCTGACTCCCGAGGTGGCATCCCACACAAGATATGTCAGAGATTCCTGGTGTCAAGGTGACCTGCCTTCAACGAAATGGCTATGATCACCACCTGCCTTCAAAGGCCATGGAGGAGGAATGCTAGCATCCCCCTGCTTCCCAATCACAACCTAGACTGCAAAATGGGTGCTGGTGCTTGGACCAAGATTCCATGCCTTTTCTTGAAGGCCATGCCTTATTTTGTCTTGCCTTGAAGAACCTGCTGTTGTTAACCCATGGAGAACACTAGAAAGGTTTTACAAGGGGAAATTACCCATTTTTGTAATTTAAGTAGTTAGTAGAGGACATTGAAAGAAAACAGTAAAGACAGAAATCCATCATGGTCTAAGAGACATTCCAACACATGTAGTCAACTTACATGTCAACTTCTCTAGGAAATTGATCCCGGTTGGGTTTTAATTCCATCGATTACTGGTTTTGGCCAGCTCCCAGTTGCGGTCCCATGGCCAGAAGCAACTAGACCAGAGATGTGAAGGGGATCACTTAGACCAATGAGGAGGAAACCTCACATGGGAGTCTTAAGATTGGCAGCCGTCCTGGTGACTTAGGTGGTTGTCCTGTGCCCAAGACAGACATCTTAGTATAAGGACAGGAATAAAGAGAGGGCATCAAGTTTCTGGGTCTTACTAACATTCTGGCCAA